CTGCTTGCAAACCAGCCAAATCTTTTCTGAGCTCATCTCAGAATAACTTGTAATAATGTTCCCAATCCATCCAGCAGCCACCAACACATGCTACTAACACCCTCTTTTACAATCTCTTCCTTTAGTTCATGGGTTTTATGATCTGTGTTTTAAATTATCATGGGTAATAGGCTCACTAAACAAATTACCATCCTTTCAGCTTCTGATGATAGTGTTCAGAGTTATTGCCCTCTAAATGAATATCCAGTTGTACCATTGTTATTTTCTTTAAAGAATGATTTTATTTAACTTTTATTTATTTATTTTAATTTGGTCAGGGAGGTAGAGGGAGAGAGAGAGAGGAAGAGAGAGAAAGTAAGAAAGCAAGCTGCCAGGTCTGGTTTGGCCATGTAGGAGTCTAGTGCCCTTAACCACCATGCCACATGTGGGCCCCCATTATCTTTGTTATTATTACCCTATCCCATGTCTAGGTGCCAATATTTGTATCAGTCAGGATAGTCTAGGTGGTGTTGCCATAACTCAAAATCCTAAACTCTCAGTGACTTAACACAGAAACTTTGTTAAGGAACACAGGGTTCTGCTCAACTTGCTCACTTAGAAACCTAGACTGAAGGAGGTTTCATCTCAATACATGTTTCCACAACCATCCCATGCACTTTGGAACCAGTTCACATTGGCTTTAAAAACTTCCCTCCAGAAATGACACACATTACTGTGTTTACATGTTATTGGCCAATACAAATCACATGACCATGTCTTACTTAAAGGGTGTAGGAAAGTGAAATCCTACCATGTGCCTGGAAGTCTGAGAGCTGGTAATGCACACCTCAGTATAGGCTAGGTTATGCTGTGCTAGCAATCCAAAAATCCTACTGGATTACAACCAGTTATTTTTGTCTCATATCACATGTCTGTTGTAAGTTGACCATGTCTCTGCTTCATAAACACCTTATCATTGCTCCAGGACCCTGGCTAACAGAGCATCCTCTTTCTAAAAATTGCTGATTGTCATGGCAGAGAGTGAAGAGCACAGCTCTTAAGGGTTCTGCTGAGAGCAACTCACGTGGCCAAGCCTGATGTCAGTGGGGAGGGGCAGCAAGTGTTTGTGAATGGTAATTCAGTTGACCACACCCTGCACTCCACATTCCTCCATTCCTCCAAGTCTCAGCCAGTCCAAACATTTTCCATTCCTCAAACATTTTCCTGTCTTTCCATTTACTTGCATCCTTAATCAAAGAGTCACCTAGAAAACTCCTATTCACCCTTCAAGACCCAGTTCAAATTATCACTCCCTCTCTCATTTATCCCATCTCCTACTTCATCTTCAAATAGTTATGTTCTTCAGCTGTCACCACACTCAGTATATACCTGAGGCAGAGAATATTTATCACATGGTCTTGTAAATATCTGAAATCCTTGATTCCAAATTCAGAAACTGTGTCTTATTTATATTTTGTATCTCTAATGCTTATTAAAACAATGTCTGGTATGTGAAAGGATAAGAGATGCTCAATAAGGACTTGCTGATTAAATTTTAATAATAATGGAATTGGGGGGGCATTTTTTATAGTCAAGTAGCAGTAGTATGTGTTTAAATACATACTATTTGGGACATATCAAACTCCCTTGTTGAAATCTCCTTAAGAGCATCTTACTGACCTGGATAGTCTAAGTTATGCTATAGTAAAAAACAAAAACAAAAACAAACCCAAACCTCAGTGACGTAAGTCAAATTAGTTTAATTTCTTGCTCCTGTAACATGTTCATTAAATGTTGATGAGAGGACCAGCAGAAAGCATAATGGTTATGCCGCTAGACTGTCCCACATAGTCCACTATGGTTCAAGTCTCAGACACAGAGGCTTAAAATTCACTCAGGTGCGTGTGTGCATACGTGCCCAAGTTCCCAAGAGGAGAATGGAGAAGAAGGGATTGCAGTGTGGCCATCCTCCCCGGGGGTGATTTTTCACTTTCCATCTCTTTATCTCTCCAGCATGCACCCTATAGCAAAAATCTCTCTCACAAATGTTGGTGGGAGTTCTGGTCACACTCCCTTCCTCTGAGACTTAGGCTGATGGAGCACCTACTTTTTGGAATAGCAAAGATCTCTTGATCAGGGACA